TCACACCATGGGCCAAAATCGACCTATTTTTAACATCCTCCTTTGTGACTATTATATTAAAGTTTTGTAAAATTCATACATAATTTCTGAATTATTTGCGATTTTCGTAACATATGTATTGAAAAAAGTATATCACAAAATTGTTTTCGCAATAAATTGAATATTTTTAAAGAAATGCAATAGTAGCATGGTTTTGCTCTTCTTTTTTTTCTCTTTACCTTTGTCTCTATTTCAACTTTTGCTCTCCTCAACTTGCACATCGTTCGCCAGTGATGAATGTTGATTTGCGACGGTAAATTTCCGGGCATTGTGTCCAACGTGTCCATACCTCTGAGAAAGTCTAGGCATTCGCGTGGTAAGATGTCCGATTTTTCGTTGTTCGCGACGCATCTGGCCACCTCTGTCAGATACGTGACGGACGTGGTAATGAGTCGGCCGATCCTGGGTCGCTTCTTGTAATGTCTGAGCAAATGTTCCACTATCGGTTGCTTCAAGTCCGCAAATTCGCTGCGGAACTTAGTTTCCTGGCGCTTTTCCGCCTTGCAAAGATTGTCATATCGAGTTTTTAATTCTGACACGACTGTTTCGTGCGAATTGCATTCTTCGGCGAGCTTGTGTGCCTTCAGCGTCGACGGTGTTAGCTCTTTCTCGGTGAAACGAGCAATTTCTTGTTTTCCGTTGACTTCGACCCGATATCGTTGGATCTCGTGTATCCTCATCAATCTTTCCTGGAGAATCGCGCATTCGATCTGCATCTTTTTCAATTCCAGATCCTTTAACTTGTCATTGAATGCTACAATATCTCTTTGTAAGGCTTCTAAAATGCATTTTTTTTTTAAATTATTTTGATCAAGAGCCTGGAATGCTTGAAGAATAATTCCAGTTCTGTAAACAATTATTTTATTCATTCTTTTAAATGCTTCAACTGACCTTTCGTTTCCACAATCTCGACCTGCAGTGTCGATTTATACTTTTCTCGTTCTTTTTGCAACACTTGCACTTTGAACTTATATAATGCGATAGCTGCGATGTCTTCGTCAGTATATTTCGAAGAATCTTTCATTAAACATTCCGGCATAGGTATCTCCTTTTTCACTTCGTCTTCCCACCTTGAAAAAAATATTGATAATTTATTTTCAAAGTAAGTTTTAAAATTATATTGATAAAACTGCAAAAGCTTATTTGTATCAATTTTCATGCAATTATTTGGTAACTTTAAATTGACTCACTTGGGTTCCAATACACCGTCCATTGTTTTCTCAAGAATTTTGTCATAAAAATCATTATTTTCTCCAGTTTTCTGTTTATTTTCTCCATTCTTATCGACTATTACGTTTTCAGGCTCTTCTCGTCGCGATTGTTTCTCAAGTACTTCTTGATCTTTTACAGTGACTACATAATCGGGTATCTCTTCGACACTCCAGATTGGCGTTTCGATTGGTTCCAGAAGTGAATCTATCCCGAACATCGTTTTTAACTCAGAAGCGCAATGTCGAAGTCTGTCGATGCGTTCTTTTGCGCGCTTTAATTCATGTTCCTTTGCGCGTCTCATTTTCTCGAAGAGATCGTTAAAATGCATCTGTTCAAAAAAACCTTAATTTATAAAAATTGAAATGTGACACATACGCTAGTGAATAATTAGAACAAAATTTTAATATTATCTACGTTTAAAGAAATCGTTGAATATTGTTATATTCTTAGCTTATCGTAGAGTATACTTTCTGATAATTATACTATCGAACAAATTACATCACCTTTAATTTACGCTCTCGATTTTCGATGATGATGTCTTTCTTTAGAATAATTTCAAAATCGCTGTCATATGAAACTAACAATTGATGCGTTGCAGCTATGCTTTCATCCTCTATCCATTTATGCGTTGTGATCCCCGATATACATAATTTCTCATCGTCATCCGCCAGTTCATACCACTTTTTAGCCACTTCGTGTACTTTGGCTTCGCTGTTGTTACTCGTTGATCTTTCTTCGCAATCAAGCTCTGTGGATCCTCGTCTCGAATCGTCTTCTTTATCTATTAACTCATCATTATACACCTCGCAACTAGAAACAATATTTTACATCTACGTTAAAAGTATTTTTATAATAACAATTAATAAAAAGATGCGGACATAAATAATTACCTGTACAAAAATTCGCCAGTGTCCGCGGAAAGTTTATCCCATACTTTAAAGTCATCCTTTTTCCGATTCGACGCGACGAGAGGATAATTTCGGACTATCGTGTCGCCACTAATAGATCTGAGGGCGCATGGTTTAACTTCCAGAGGCTCCCAGAATATTTCACGCAGATATAACGCTATCTGATCTCGTTGGGCGCATTTCTCCTCGAGTTCTCGACGCACCTTATCTCGTTCAAGTTTCGCATCTGCTATTTTCCGTTGTCGAGACTCGCGATCCAAGTCGAAAGCCGAGATTGGCAATCGAGCGTCTGGTGGCTTGCTCTCATTTGCATCGAGAAGCTTGCATATCTGTTGCAAAACTTGCGCTATCAATGTTGCGACTACATCTCTAAGAAATAATGGAAAAAGACATACTTGATTTTTTATTTTTTCCAGATCGGCTTTGATAAAAACTCGTAAAGATAGAGCTTTGTTACGCTCGGCTTTCAATTTAACAGCGGTTATACTATCCAGCCAGGTCTCTTCTTGTAGATCGTAAAGTTCATTTGAATCAGAAATAAAATCTTCAATCGATAAATGTCTATTTACAGCCTCGGTTTCCACCAAGTTTATTTTTGCTTGTTGCCTGTTTATCTCCGGTAAGCTGTTTGTATAATTAAATTGGTTTATACATATTTACTTCTGTTATGAATGATTTAAGTATGCAACGGCAAATAAAGACAAAATACCGGATTCGGCTGGCAACGAGATCTCCGTTCCTACCAAGGGAAATAATCAGCTCCCCAAAGTGAGAAGAAATTGCATACTTTATGCCTGCTTCGCTACGGTGATGCGGCATAAAAGCCGCGATCGCTTTATGAAGCTCTGTACTATTTCTGACTATGATTAAACCATCGTATCCATACGTTATGATTCGAGAGTCCGTCACATATATTCCGAAATCTCTCATTTGATGCATCTCAGAGAGTGCTTCCGCAAGAACAATATTTTGAAAATCATCCTGCGAAAAAAAGTTTGATCAATTTCTTCTTTTCTAAATCGGAATGAAAAATACGGGTTAAAATACAGATTACTGTAATTTTTTAAAACTTTGGATACAGAATAAATAATATAATTCAAATATTTAATAATTAAATAATATAAGAGAGAATAAGATAAATAAAATTTATCTTATGTAATTAAGCAGCAAATTAACGTGACTTACACACCTCTATTTCCATTCGATGCAACTGTTTAGATAAAGAGGGTGTAGCTAATATGTCGAAAGGCTTATTTGATCCATGATAGAGCATCTTGTAAGTTTTTGACAAATCTATCACGCACACGGGATTCGCGCAGAAGTCCATCGACATTTTGCAAGTGTATACGATCACTTTGTCACCGCCGATCGAAACTGTGGAAGGATTAGCCGTTGCAAGGACTAAGATTTCGAAGCAATCGTTATTTCTCTCATATATTAGAAAATTAGCGATCTACAAAAAGGAAGAAGAAAATTAAATTCTTCTTATTTACATTTTTCTACGAAGATTATATAGTTTTACGTCTCCTTTTTATACGATTTGTTATACGAAAAATTGTCTTACGCATTCACCAACTTCCATAAATCCAAGAACATCTACACGCTGTTGTTTAGACCGTTTACCAATAATAAACATTTTGCCAGTTTGAGAATTAGCAATTCCTAAAAACGAGCCGTAGAGCGAAAATTTTATTCTGTCCAAAGAATCTCCGTGTAGATGAAAGCAATTTACAATTTTAGGCGATGAGATATTTGTGACGTCAATAAATATGCAATTGCCAGCAATGGTGCATGATGCAAGCACCGATAAAGTGGGATGCGAATCTGTATGCAGAACTGAAATAGAAATGTCACTCACATTAGCGATGCATTGATTAATTGTTGCAAAATAGTAAGAAATTATTTCATCAAATATTTTAAATATTAATTAAACTACAAATTAAATAAAACAGTAAAAAAAAATAGATCACACATATGTATATCAACTTAATTATATGTACAATACGTTTCATAAAGAATAACTGTTCTTTTTTTAGGTTTCTCTTATTTTACCTTCACCGTGATGTTTTAGAAATAATTTCGCTGTAAGTTTACCGGTCAGTAACTCGAAAATGCATAAGCGATCTAACCGGTCTAGCGCCGCGACGTGATCTGTGCGTTGAGATATAGAAAACAGTGCTTTGTATTCTATTTCATCCGTATAAATAACTTCCATCTGGGGAATGTTGTCGTATTGCGTACTGATCTCAAAAATTTCTCCGCTTTTGGAGTGGAACAGGACCCCATTTTTGAAACAATGTTGTTTTCCCGCTTGTATGGAATAGAAAGTTGAAATCGACCACGCAAATTGCCATGACACGTTCCAGTCCGCCGACGATTTTTTATAAAACTGTAAGATATTGACAAATTATATTTAATTAAATTATACATATTATTATTACAAGTATAATATTTAAAATAATAAAATTATACGAGGATATTATATTTTTTATAATAAAGATTAATGATTAAAATTGTTCTGTTGTTGCAAAAATTTATATTTAAATCAAATTTAATTGAATCAATACGCACTGCAATTTCATTATTGGTGTTTACGACTATTACGCCATTCTTATATGAGACGACGATTGATTTGTTCGTCGACAGTTTGTGAGATTCTGATTTTACGACCGAATACAGCTTGTTAGCATCTATCGCCACGAGCCATACATTGCCAAATTTGTCCGAGACAAATAGGTTTCCTTCCGGAGTCCAAGACGAAGACACGATTTTATGTTCCGGAACTGGCACGTCCACGTGATGTATGGTTACGATTTTCGAGCACGTGCGCACTTGATAAATTGAGAGTGCGCCATCGATGACTCCAAATTGCGATATTAAATGCGGAAGATTTGGTGAACAACTAATATGATCAAAAAGCATTAATTTTATTGTAAAAAAATATAAAAAATTAATATTATATTAAAAATAAATATATTCTATTATATAAAAAGATATTATATAGATTAAGATACTGTTGTTTTACAGATTTCACTTTTTTTTATGACATTTCCACAGAAAAAATTACAAAAGAGAAGAGTCGGAGATTAGATTATCGATTAGATAAATAGAGTGTTGGAATCTGAACAAACTGAAGACGTTATCCTAAAAGAATTTGTAAATAGACGAAAAAAGTGAAAGTATCTAAAAAGAAAAAAACCAAAAACTATATTATTTATAGAAATAATAAAAATTCAACCAAATACATGAGAAAATTAAATTTTCTGGAAAAACCAGAAAATAAGATTAAAATTTTCCTAACAAAAAATTATTAGCAACACAATGAAAAAACATATCAGTCATAAAAATCATGTGCTAATAAGTAAGATATACTCTTATTAATTTATTTATAAATATTATTATTTGCTCTATTCGACGATCAGATCTTTTACTGACCTGTGAGAGACATGTTTTATTACAGCCTTTCCGACTTTTCCACTTTTTAAAAATGTGTAACAATATGTTATGTTATATTATTTAAAAAAAAAGGAAATAGAATGTTATTGTAGATTATAAAAAATATAGAAGAAATATAATAGAAATGTTACTTACCAAATTTCTTGAACGAGATTATTTATTTTCGTGTTAAGAGTAGCGATGTGCTTGCCGCTTTTCCAAAGCCATACGATCAGTCGAAAATCGGGAAAGCTAGTCAGGCTTATCAAATATTCTGTACCCGCGAAAGAACACGATAAGTAACTATGAATTTTGTCAGGCAACTTACATACGGAAATCCTTTGTAGTGTTGGATACATAAATATCGATATCTTGGGATTAAGTTTTCTTTCAACGACGGAAAACATGGAAACTGTCTGCACACAAAAGTCGAAGCACTAATATTATCAAAAAATAAATAGCAACAATTGCAGTAATATGTGTTATTTTTTGGACATTAAATAATTTAAAAAATTAATAAATATTATAAATAATATACCGGATGTCCAGCCAAACACGATGCGCCATCGCCTCTTTCTATGTTGTCGAAACGCTCGATCCGTCTTTCTTTCGTATTCAAATTCAAAAAACTCACGTAAATGCCGGAAGCAGTTGCAACAGTTTCTTTTCCAATGAAGACAAAGTCGTGAGATTTACCAAATTTTGTCCATCTGTAATAACAACCATAGTTAATAAATAAACGTGTTTATTTGCTAAGTTTTTGAAGATAAAAAGACGCACTTTGTTTCGGATATTGAAAAATTCATTTTGTTGTATCTTTCACTTTGCTAATGTATTTTAAAATCTTTATTGTTTTGGTCTATTTTAATTAAAGCTCTACTTTTGCATAGCAAGCCAACCTCGCACATGTAACCACCACCATCCCGTTTGGTTGCTCAGAGACCTAAATAAGCTAGCATATTGATCGGGGTGGTCGTAGAGACTGTGTTTGTCAATCTCTTCTTTTCGAATGCATTTGTAACGCGTCATAAATTCTTTGTTATTTATGATTTTATAATTTATAACTTTGCAATTTTGTAATTTATAAATTAATAAAAATGATATATAGAGATACATTTTTAATTAATAATGATTTATCTATTCTAGAATTTTTAATATAAATATGAAAATTAATAAACTATCTTAAAATATTGTACAGAAAAATACTTCTCTCATTTTGCTCGTGTTTTAATTACCCAGGAAATACAAACGTACGCACTTTTATATCAGGCGTTTTCTTATAACCCCGGAAGACAATGGAATCACCGAAAGAATGCCACTAATGCCGTTAAAAGTGTGCCACTGGATCAAAGTATTGTAGGTGGTTCGAAGGACAGTAACACCGTTATCGACTGCATCATCCACTACATAATAATGGGCCTACGCCTTTACGCTTCCTAGTAGAATTTTTATAATTTTCACAATTTTGCGAAATTAATGCCGAAAAACAAAAAAGTCTTATTAACAGACACAAGTCATGTCTAAACGTGTTTGCTAAAAGCAATTTGAAAGCTTTTATATATTTTTCTTTTTTTATAAAATTATTGCGTAAAGTATCAAATCTTACGGATACTTTTCTATTTATTAATAGTAATATTAGAATATTGTCGTCTTATTACAAAAAATAAATATATAGAGATATTTAATAGTATTAATCATCATTCAATAATAATAATAACTCATTTATTATAATATCTACTTTGTAATGTAATTTTTTTGTAAACTAGTAAAACTTTCTTTGAATCAAAAAGCAATGGAAAAATGTTAGCATGTTTTTTGGTAGACGGTCGACGACAATGCTAGAAGTGTCGCAGAAGCATGGTGGAATAGTAACCCAATAACGTGGAATCTCATACCCCTTCCGCTTGCGAACGGCATATATAGACGAAGCAAAGCGATGATTTTTTATTCTCAAGCAGTGATAGACATGAGAGTGACTGTCAAGAAATGATGAGCATTTCGTAAGTTCGTCACTTATTAGAACAGTTTTGCAGCGAATAGATTTTTGTGTTTAGTGTAACAGTAAGCAGATTTATGGAGAAGAAATATTTGAAGCCAGATTCTTGGAGAACAACTAAAAGCTTCCAAACTGTGAAGCTGGATACCAGCGTTATTCTCTGTCAAAAGTGGAAACTTTACTTTTAAGTGGAATTAGTCAATGTACGTATATTCATTGGGAGATTATATTGTAGCATTTGTAACGCTTTTGCTTACTTATTTTTAATTTAGCAGATGTTATGGAAACTTTTGTAAAATAAAACGTAAAAAGTAATTAAAAACATTATGTTATTAATGATCAAAAATAAATTGCACACACATATAAAATAACATAATTAAAATCATTTTTTTAAATGTATAATTCATGGTGAAATCTTAACGAAATTGATATACAATTATTGATAATTGCTAAAAATTAAAACTATCCATATTTTAGATCCAATTTAATTTTGTTAATAATAGTTATTATGCTTATATTGTCGCAAGCTTAAAATTACTATTATTTTGTAACGCCTCAGTTTTAGTCCATTTTTATAAAGAAAAATATTGGCAATTAAATTAGTAGTGTGGATAGTGATAACAATTTCAGATCATATTGCAAGAATTCATTGTAGAGCTGTGTAAATTACAGCTACTTTGCACTTCTACAGTCGTGAATTAGGGTCACTGTTGAAATGACCGACAGACCACTAAAAAGGGGCGAAGACCGCTACTTGCTTAGTATGCGCGGCAGTTTGCATTTTGTATTCAAGAGGGATCTTCTGCATTCATCTAGAAGGCGTCTCATGTCGCGTTGCTTGATCGTACTACTTGTTTCTCCTTTCTTTCTTAATTAAAGTAACATCGATAATCAGAAGAGCACTCTTGGGATCTCGGAGAAGTCTGTTTATTATCTCTATTTAAAAAGATTCATAGAGAGTTCAATAAATATAATAATATATAAATTTCTTAACTAAAATAAATGTTTTAATTAAAATTTGTAATAAAATAAACGATTAAAACTTAGTATTTTTGAAAAAATCAATTTATTAAAATGTTACTTATACATAAAAGACAATATAAAATTGTGAAGTTTTAAAAATAAAATTTTTACAAAATATAGGATAGTATATGCCTTATTTTCATTGCAAAGCATTAGCTATAAAAAATTATGTTGTATAATTTAAGTATATTATTTATAATTTATTTTCTTCTTTCAGATTATTATATTTTTTTTCAACGATAATCTGTTCTTAAGATGAAATCTCATTATCAAGTACGAAAACATCGATCCGGCTGTATCGTAGGAATTTTCCTACTCTTTCTCGGTTTAGTGTCATCTCACGAAGTTATAGCTTCGAATTATCAGAATACACCAGATGCCTCGACCTTAAAGATCGAGGCGAAGGAATCCGAGGCATCGATAATTCTCGGGAAAGATCTCGTTCTCGGTCCATCTTTGTCGACGAAAGCACCGATCGTTGTCAATTCTAGCAATTTCTACGACATAGCGCCGACAAAGCTCGATTCCTTTGGAACACCTACGATTGTCGGCCGAGTGTCTTCCGGCGAACATAGCGGAGGAAATATTCTTCGGAGAGCCGGTTCAAAGAATACAGGTTCTCGAGGATCTCATATCGTCGATAGCCACCACTCGGCCAGTAAAGGCAGCTCGAAAGCTGCTTGGAAAAAAGACACCTATCTTGAGGCACTGAGACACTCGCACAATAGCAACGATCCACGCGAGGGAATCGTACAAGCAGAATCCAAGACAACGGCAAATAGGAGAGAGTACGTGCAGGAGCCTATTTACAAGCAGGAAACGGAGTACGATTCGCCCGGACCGACGTACCCGTCGAAGAGTCCGCGGATTACTTACGGCGGGCCCAGCGATTCTTACTCTCAAGCCTTCAAGCCGTCGGTGGACTACAACAGCGTTGTTCCGCAAAACCCTTATGGTTCGCTGCAGAATTCGTACGGGCCGCCGCGTGACGGACCCTCATTCTATCCTCCGACTTCTTCGTACGGACCGCCCGGAAATTCCTATTTGCAACCCCAACAAGGTGAGGTCATACTGTAAAAAAAATTAACGTGAAGAATTACAATTATTATGATCCGTAATTTTAGGACTATTATGTCTAGTTGCAAATATTATGCTAATAAAATCAATTGAGAAGCTTTTATTTGCCCGATAAAAATTTATTTTTCCCTTAAAATTTAGATACAATTATTGCTGTAAATATTTTTAGTATTTCTTCTAATCATCTGATTTATTTCTTATTTTGTTTTTGCAGGATACGGTCCTTCCATTCACACTTCCGCTCCAACCGCGGTCTACGGCGCGCCTTACTCACTTCCGGATGTATCTCACATTCCCTTTCTGCCGAACATCGATCTAGGATTGCCGTTCGCCCTCAAACTGAATGCGTTCACTATTGCAAAAATTTTATTGAAATTAGTAATTTTCAAGATGATCGTAAAATTCATCGCGATAATTTGTTTACTGCTTTTTATACCGAAGCTCGAGATCATCAAGAAGAAGGTTTCTAATAAAGACGACGACGACAATGAAGAACGAAGTCTATCATCGCGTAAGTTTTTATGAGACAAATCTACAGTGTCCTTGAACTCTGGACTTTGATTATAATAAGAATTTCCGTGCTGAATGAGGTTTTTTGAACGAAAACGTTTGATACAATTAGAATTATTATCTCCTTAACTTATTATCTAGTTAACTCATTTTAGCTAATGGTTTTATACTTTTTAGCTTATGCCAGTTCAGAGATGTTAAACAACCTCGAAGACGTAGTAAAAAGCTCCGTCGAAAAGTACGAGACGCAAAACAGTACTCATTCGAATTCAACGGAGAAATGCACGACATCCGCATGTCGCATCACCGATGCACTCTCGTTCCACGAATCTTGGAATGATTATTTGAATTTATTCAAGAACTACATGGAGGAAGAGAGGCACTTTACAAAACGGGAGGAACACTGATTTGTATTACCATAAAATTTCACATTGTCGTATCATCTCTCTATTTGTAATCATTTATTTATTTATTTCATAAAAAAATTTCTATCAACATTTGTGAAATATTTTATTCATCTTCCTGATTTTCCACTGCAAATGATGAAACACAATTAAATGGACGATCCAGGCGTGATACGTCCTACTCTCAATTTCTGTCTCAGGTGGGGATAGATGTAACCGCACTCTCAGTTTATAAACGTAGCATGGTGACATGATATGTCAGTTCCCTCTTGATAACCATTCGTTGTGCCCAGAAAGTGTTCATCGACTTTTGACCTAGCTATATCGCCAATCAGCCAGAACAATGGAGGTAGCAATTGTAGTTGGTACGCAAACAGCACCGACTTTATTTAAGATTTTATAGCGCAAATTGATTTTTTGCAATCAACTAATATATTATTTTCACTAACCGAGTTTAATTATATGATCTACGTAATACCGAGTGATTTCGAGTTACCATTAATTTTTTTGTAACTACATTTTAATATATATTTAAATAAATATTTGGTAGTTTTATTAAATTGTTAATAGTTTATGCATTTATGCCTTTGATTGCATTTTAGTGTAAAAATTTTAAATTTGCTATTTCAATTCCTTCTCTGTAACTTTTGTGTCGGAGAGTTTGTATAAAATTTTTAAATAATTTATATTAATTATAATAAGGTTTGAAAGATCATGAAAAGTTTTGATATTATTTCAATAAATGTACGTTCACTTTTCAACTCATTGATACATTGATATAAAATCCAGTTCAGCTCGATCTCGCTTAATATTACATCATAAAATTATGCAAGCATGTTTTCATTCCAATCAATTATTTATAAAATTAAATATTTATGTATTTCTTCACGAGATACTGGAAGATACCTGATTGCAAAAAGAAAGACTGAAGAACCTGTTTTTGAATGGGCGTGGGCGTAAGTGGCCTTGAGTGAAGAAACGTCGCAATCGCCGCAAGGAGCGGGCTGATCTCGATTCAAAATAAACCTTGATTTCAATAAAGCTGCAATCATCCAATAAAGACGTGTATTAAGGCCGCGTAGCATCCCAATGAGATACTAAGCCACGTTCAATGAATTTACGCAATACCGTCTCATGCAATTCGCCAATAAAACTTTCAAAAAAGTCACATTTATTTAAAATTACGTACTAATAATTTCTTACGATTTTAGGAAATGTTATCAACTATCATTTTTGTGTTAAAAGAAATGTTGTATAATTTATAATTTGCAAATTGCTATTATGTTTTAAATAAAATGTATTCTACCACTTTTTACAGAACAAAATTTTATTTAAAAACTACGAGAAAAATATCGTATTAAAATTGTGTAATTAAAATTACATTCATATTGAATAATTTTTTATTTATCTCGTCTTCTTTTAATTTTGTTCTTAGCGTTGGCGTTTCTCAGCATGTTTGCGTTTTGCGAGAACACGTACGCTTTTCCCGATGAGACAGGGGCAACTAACTTGAAGGATGTAAAAGGACCTAAGGATATCAAAGAAGCGGCGACCGCGTCGAAGGACGTAAAGGATGCTATCAAGGCTGCTAAAGAGGCGAAGAAGAGTAAGAAGGATTGCGCACGGGATTGTGGGATTAATGTTGATCCTGTTTGCGCTCACGACCCTGCCGATTCCAATTTCAAACCAAGGACTTTCGGCACGCAGTGCGCTCTGGATGTTTACAATTGCGAAATGGGAGCGAGTGAGTATAGAAAAAAATTTTGTAAATTTTAAAGAAACGTAATCATGTTATAATAATTAATTCTCTCAAATATTTGCACAAGTTCGGTAACGAATAAAATACTGAAATCGCTAATTTTTGTATAATTGTAATGTAATTCTGTATAATTAATGTGAAATTTAATTGATATTATTAATAACATTGTAGAATTGGCTGTGAAGAGCAAAGGCGAGTGTCCCGGATCCGGCGGAGTAAGACTGTCCTAAGCAATTACTCGATTCTATAAAACCATCCATGAAACGCGAAGTAGAATATTAATCCTCGAGTCAGCCGTTAGACTATCATTGCGAATTTATTCAGCTTGAGAGCAAACACCTGAATACATTATAATGCAATGTGACGCTGCATTTGTATAGATGATGGTATACTGGAAACCTAGATGTAACGACGCGAGAAAGTCTGACAATAATTGGCCGCTAAACTATACGCTACGTACGATTGTACAATGTAAAACCCGAGCACCTATCTAATAAATATTAATAATGAGCAACTATTGATTCTGTTTCTCATAATCACTTCCTGCCACATTATGACACAGTCGTTTCTGGTAGTTTCTAACTTATGTACATATGTTGAATATGTATCCTCGATATGCAAATTTGTGAATTGACTTTCTAATCGCGTCTATGTGATTATTTTTGACACAAACGCGAGGCTAACAAAATGTATCCTTGACTTTGAAGCGGATAATGTAACTCTTTGGCATACAAATCTGTTTTTATTATTGCATATGCAATTCTACAAGCGTTTGAATGTTATAATTATTTTTTTAGAAACTTTATAAATGTCTTTTATAAATTCTATAAACGTCAGACTTCGCTAAGTATGTGCACGCCGCGTGTACGTGAAAGGCAAGCAACATATAATTTGTACGCGCGGGGCTATTGTCCGTCAATCTTCGTTGTAACGAGTTTACGTACCAAATCAATGTTCAACATAATGAGGATGCGACCGTGGGCAATGAAGGATGACAGCCCGCCATAAGCCGCATCCTCAGTTTGGCGCACATTGTTCTACAATGTGCCGTCTCGTTCGGCTCGTCTGTGACATGATCGACTTATCTTCAAGGATCATCTACTGTGTAATTGTTCTCTTTTCGTTATGCGAGACAAGAACGTGCTGTCTAGGCTCGTATGCCTGCACGACCGCAAGTACGCAAACTCCAACAGGTAATTAATCACGCCAATCAAATAATTATCGGCGATCTGATAGTGGAAACTGATAATACGCAACAAAAACCTATTGTACAAAAATTACCCTAATTGCAATCTTAATAATTGTATGCTGTACGATGAAATAGTAGAATGAGATTTTAGAATATTATTTATGCTTTATCTGAAAATCCGAGATCGCATATTTTTAAAAGAATATCGCAAAAAAAACTTATGTGTAAAAAAAAATGTTAAACCAAATGCATACAATTCTCGAAACTGTGATAAATTTTTGTGTATTGTCTTGTTTAACTCCGATACGATTTAAGATGCGCGATCTCAAAACTCGAGATGAAACATCCTTGAAATATTTCGTACAAGCACAGATACAGAACGTTCCACAGTGCTGGACTCGATGTCAATCTTCGAGGAGATGGAAAACCGACTGTCGAGTCTCGAACGGAGGCTGCGAGCCGTCGAGCAACCGGGTAAGAGTCTCGTGATTTGCGACGGATATACAAAAGCACACCCATGCTCTCGCAGTTTGGCAGATCGGCCTGAGAGAGGAGGACTGGGAGATTTGTGCCGAGGGACCGTGCAAATGCATACCTGAAATCAAATCGGTGTCCTGCTGGAGATACGATCTACTGAGTCTGCCTCCCACGCAACTGGTTCCCGCCGACGTGCTGAGGCTGTGAGCGATTTAAAAGCTATCCCATCTTTGATGGAAAAATATTACAGCTGAAAGCATCGTCATTTTTTAGAAACGATTTAGAAAGTTTTCAAGAATGGATTTGAAAAAAATAATCTAAAGTATCCATTGTTGGATTCTAAAGTTCAAAAAAATTACTTTTTGATTCGATTTTAACTTCCATTAAAATTTAAGCACTTTTCTTATTAAATTACGTATTTTAAAATGGTTATATTTCACTTCCTTTCAATTGCAATTTCTCGAATGACAAACTTTATTAAAAAATATTATGAGAGTGGAAATTATTTGTTTGACATATCGTTGCAGAGATCTCGGGAATAATCGGCTGCACGCTCTGCACAGAGATACATTTAAGAACATGACGCGGTTACACCATCTGTAAGTGATTTTACGACTAAGATATGCGTGAATCCTAAGAAGATTACGTATTACAGAGATCTCAGCGGCAATCTGGTCGAGCATTTAGCACCAAATTTGTTCCTGCCGCTGCACAGTGTCGCAAATGTCAGACTGAGTAACAATCTCTTAAAGGAGATCCAACGTAATCAGTTTCTCGGACTGAGAAATCTTCGAATACTGTACGTCAGACATCTAGTAAACATAAAGAAGAACGCTGTTTATAATTATATACAACTTAATTTTTACTGTAAGAATATTAATTGCAAGATTTAACATTATATTTTATTTAGCGATTTATCGTCAAACAGACTCCGCACTTTGCCGGAGGGTCCTTTCCTAAGTAACAGCCTTTCGGCTTTGCTTGATCTCTCTTCCAATCGCATCTCCTCGTTACCTTCCGACACGTTTCATGATCTCGGGAATCTCGAGGAACTGTTGCTGAGTAAAAACCGACTAGGTGGATTACCTCTGCCAATTTTTCGAGACACAATTAATCTTAGGCGCCTCGCACTCGAAGAAAATCGTTTTAGAGAGCTGCCTAACGGCATATTCGAGGGTCTGACATCTCTCAGAGAGTTAGATATGAGAGACAATCGTTTGGCGGAAGTGCCCAAGGGACTGCTGTCCACTCTTGTACGACTGGAAATCCTGGAAATGTCGAGCAATAAAATAATTCGTGTACATATCGTAAATTTATTTTTGCATTAATTTTATGTTTTCAAATTATCATAAAAGAATATTCTTTTATAAAAAAATTTATATCTTATAATTTTATTAACTTTTTGAAAAATTAACTCCTTAGATATTAATAAATAATATTGATCTTTGTGATTAGATCGATGCAAGAGCCTTTCACGATATGGTAGCACTTCGAGAACTTCGACTAGGACATAATCAAATCAAATACCTGTCGCCTGGATTATTCAACAATTCTAAATCCTTGGAACGTCTTATTCTCTACGGCAATCGTATAGAAATCTTAACGAGAGGCGTTTTCCACGGCTTGTCCAATCTCACTTCTCTTTTCCTGCAATCCAATCGATTGAAAGTGATGCAATCAGGAGTTTTTGACGATACGCCGAATTTGCGGAAACTGTAAGTTTGATAAGTGTATTATAAGTTTTTATACTGAACTGTAAATAAAATTTCTACAAATTAAAGATTCTTCTAGCTCAATCATGCTTAACAGTGTTCAATATTAATTTTATTCACGTACATTTTCATTTACTATTTTGATAAATACTATCAAAAATGGAGTTATTTCTGTATCAAATATAATTTACGGATAAAATTTTAATCAAGAAGAAAACTATGCTATTTTTCACGCACAATTTTATCATATCACGATTTTTAGGCAATTGGAATCAAATCAACTCTCGTTCTTGCCAGCTGGAAGCATGGACGCTATATCGACGATTCCACAAGTACGCTTAAGCCGGAATCCCTGGCATTGTGATTGCCGTGCCTCTTATGTCGCCTCTTGGCTACGTAAGAGATTCGCCAGCTTCGCGAATTTGACCAATCAATTACAGATACAACAGGCTTTGATCCTTACGGGCAATTGGAGTGTCTGGGAATTTGGAGCTGGCGCAATATGCAGAGGTCCAGGTATATTGGGCGGCCAGTCATTATTGCGTCTGACCTTTCATGAGCTCTGCGATGGTCAATGGGCCTCCATGAAGGGTATTGTGCCTCGATTACCCCTCGATGTCATAGCGCCGTCCGTCGCGTCGCATACAGTCAAGAGAGACACGATTTTGGTAATTATAAATCGCATTTTACTAAATACAATATTTCCAAATAAAATATTGCATTTTCCTCCAGCAATTTCTCCTACAACAAAAATCTGTGCAATTGCAGAGATTATTTTTTGGCTCTTAATATCACATTAATATTAACTGAAATAAAAATAATTTTCTTGAATAATATTGTATCTCATTTTTTATTCATATTGTTACAGGTATAAAAGATGCGAGACTCAAATTTGCGAAAATATCACGTGATGTTGAGAAAACATTTGATGCTAATTAGACTAATTAGCGCATCTTTTAAAATGATTTTTTCGTTGCCATAAAAAATGCAGCGTGTATAAATAAATAAATTGTACAAATTATTTTAAACATTTGTGCACTATATATTGCGTGCACTGTATGATAATGCAATTCACAATACTTACAATAATAGCATAGAGCAAAATGACATGATATGAAATAAAAAACCATTTAATTGCAAAAATATTTTGCTTCAAGCGTGTGTTATCCGCCCATCGTTTCCAATCTCAATTTCTTACGCTCATAAACGATTATGTTGACTTGCAGTTGTTAGATAGGATTATAACGTAATCAGTTGCGCTTATCGCAAAGTCCAATTTGCTATCGCCGAGCAAAATGATAAAAAACGTAAGATATCGATCATACAACTCTTCTCCAAGAATAAAACTAGAATCTTTCCATAATTTCTCATGACTAACGACCAGAACGAAACACGCGACGTCATAGAAATTACACGAGAGTATTAAAATTATTGATAACACACACACTGCTCAGTCGACCGTCAGATATACAATAAGTCCAGTCACGTGTAAATTATTTAGAACATTTAGCACGCGCTAATAGCACTTCGATAAATCGCGGAGAAGGAAAATGCACGAACTGTAACTCGTGCGTAACAGATGCGTGAAGAACACGCGCAGAACACGTGGAGAACGGCAGACGTAAACTGCGCAACCAAACGATGAACCACCGAGATTTATGCACGCATGATGCGCTTTTAACAACCGTGACAAAGAACGATTCGTTCGTCTTGGTAAGTCGAAATGGAAGGGGTCCAACAAGCGAGTCGACGGATTTGTCGACTGGTCAGTTGGCGGATATCCTTGCTTCGTTTCAGTATACTATTCACGATGGCTGCGACAGGTAGTAATGGTACTGTCGATTTACTGGAGAAACTCTTGCAGATCTTTAAAGAGGAACGAGTGTTCGATCGATCTGGCGATCAACCCGTCGTGCAATTTGTTCAACCCAAAGATTTGCAGGTGAATTAGCAATTTCTGTCTCTTATTTTCTTTTGATGTACTGTTTATTTACTTTTGATGTATCTGTTTAATGTTGAAAATGTCTCTACATTAAAATTTTTTCTATTTTTATTATATTACAGTTAAATAATAATTAATAATATAATATATCGCATATCGTATAATATCATGGCATTGTTTATTTTATCTATTTTATTGTTTTATATCGAACTGTATCTAATGTCTGTATCACTTTCTAATATTGCGCACACTAATGTTGAATCCTGATGGAAAAAAACATAAAATATTTATTCATAAAATAATTATTAACATAGCATGAATGAAACGGAATACAGATAATTGCAATATATAGGTGTGTGAGGTCAACGTTTGCAGTTTTTATAACGTAATTACCAACCGATGTTTACCAGACAGATTGTCGCTTTCTTCGAGGAACTTTGACATGCATGATAACATGTCGTTTTTTTTCAAGAAGTTCCTCAGTTGATTATGGTAATATGTTGAAGCAGAAATCGTTTTGGATCTGCATTAATAAACATGCAAATTCGGACACAGATAAGAACCTCCAGATAATCCAAATAATAATTAATAATATAACATATCGCATATCGTATATCATGGTATCGCGATAGTCGGATTTAAATATTGTTTTTAAATACCGTTTAGTTGCTGATAATCTGCAGCCGAAAATTCTCTTAACATTCAAAAAGAAAATATTCTTAAAGTGAAAGGGAAAATTCCTCTACAGATATACTCTCACAATTTCCTCTCTAGCGAAGAGGATTTCTCTTAATTTTAGTTTGTTCATACATTTTGTTTCTGAGTAAAGCGTGTGAAAAGGCAGACAGCATCGTTTCCTCTAAAAACAAGCACACATTAAAAGAAGAATAAACATTAGAGGAATAGAAAGTGAAGCATCATAGAGGTTGTCAAAGGTTATATGTATCGCAAATCTTTTCGTGATAAACTTGAAATCGTAAAATAACGTTTCCTCTCCTCGAGTGTGTCTTCTGTTCACATTTGCTTGTGCAAAATCTATTACAGATTACAACGCATTACATTGGTTCGATCTTTGATTAATATTTTGTCATCGATAACTATTAGACGATTTAATCACCGTCGCACGATCAATCGCTAATTTCTATAAATTTCCTTTCCATTACAGAAAATTGTGCTAATTTCGTAGAATATTCATCGTCCTTTTCTCATTTAACGTTATTTCTGTCTTCAGGAAAAGATTTCATGCTCTTTGAATGATAAACCAGCGAGCGATGAGCAAATCGAAGCGGTAATACGACAAGCCATACGATATTCTGTGAAGACGTCCAGTCCTCATTTTCATAATCAGCTATATGCTGGCGTTGATGAATTCGGACTGGCTGGCTCCTGGTTAACGGAAACCTTGAACACTAGCCAGTAAGAATAGTTTCAAATTTCTAAAAAAAACATTTAAAAACATTTAGGAATAATTAAAAGTTCTAGGAAGAAATGTATTTAACATTTTCTTTTCGTAATACAATAATGCTGTCTCGAAGAAACATTAGATAATCAAAATCATTTCGTTATCGTATCTCGTAGAAATACTAGACACATAATATTGTTAACCCAGTTCGCGTGGCAGACAACACATGAACCCATCGCAATTTTAATTAACACACACCGAAGTTCTTATCATCATTAAGAAAGTTTGCTTTCATTAGGAAAATAAAGAGCCCACGTGTTTTCTTTGATAACGACTTCAGAAATACAAACAGCTTTAGCGATCGCAACGATGCTATTACTACCATCTAACCAAAGAAAAAAAAAAAAATATAATAGCGAGTCATAATTGCGAACATTCCTGCCAGGTACACCTACGAAGTCGCCCCCGTATTTACTTTAATGGAGCGAGAAGTGATACGAATGTCATTGACACTGGTAGACTACCCGCTGATGCCGGATGCCGATGGTATAATGAGTCCGGGTGGCACCATATCAAACATGTATGGAATGGTGCTGGCCAGATACAAAAAAGCGCCAGAAGTAAAGAAAAAAGGAGTTAACCATTTACCACCGCTAGTGTGTTTTACGAGCGAGGATGGTCATTATTCGATTATAAAAGCAGCTCACTGGTTGGGTTTGGGCACCGACAATGTTTACAAGGTATTTTCAAGGATTACACAAATATTTATTTTTTACCGTCCATATGAGCTTGCCACGTTAACAGTCCAGTCAACAAAATATTAACAATATTGACAGATTGACAACAAATATGATGAAATTTGCTGTCAATCTAGCAATCTGTTAATATTGCTAACATTTGGCTATCTGGGAATCTTCATTTATAATTTTTATTTATCATATGTTTATCATATATGTAATAAATTAAGTATTTAATTATCAATATATAAAAAAGAGCAACAAGAGCCGCTGCTAGATGTACGTGTAGAAAAACACATTTCAATACAAATCAGAACATACGTTTCGGCTTGATATTCAAATATTTAATTTATTAAATACTTCTCTTTTTCGACTTTAAAAATATATTGATATATGAAATAAATTTTATCTCTAAGCTAATAATTAAAATTATTAATCATTGCAATTTGCAAACATTAATTGTGCAAACTTGCGTTCTTTCGTTCCAGGTGAAAACGGACGAGCTTGGTCGCATGAAACCGGATGATCTAAAGAGACTCATAGCGAAAGCGAGGGCTGCGGGATGCACACCGTTCTTTGTGAACGCTACCGCTGGCACTACAGTGCTCGGAGCTATCGATCCTTTGCCAGAAATTGCCAGAATTTGTCAGGATGAAGGCCTCTGGCTACACGTTGATGTATGTATATGACAGTTGTTAATTTGGGAACAGACATAATTCGAAAAAGAAAACCTATTGTAGGCTTGTCTCGGCGGTACTCTGCTGCTCTCGAAGAAGTATCGGCCTCTGCTGCAAGGCATCGAATTGTTCGTAATTATTTTTTCACTAATGCTGTCGAGAAAGGAAAAATATATAATTCAAAGTAATTATTTGCAATTGATTGAGTAAATAATCGTCATGTCAATCCTGAATGATTGTTATTTACATTATTTTACTCGAAACATTGTTTAAAAGAACGCTAAACGACGTTTGTCCAAATAAAATGGAGATTTAAAAGATAAAAACTTTCCTTTCTGCGACGTTAGAAGTATTTTAACGCGAAGCAACGCGGATTCGCAGTTTTCTCTGACCGATTTTCCTTTTACAATCCGGTTGATTCAGATCAGACTCGGTGGCATGGAATCCGCACAAGATGCTCGGAGCACCGTTGCAGTGCTCCTTGTTTCTAGTTAAAGGCAAGAATGCGTTGCACAACGCAAACAACGCCAGTGCAACTTACCTTTTTCAGCAGGACAAATTTTATGACGTCAGTTGGGATACGGGAGATAAGAGCGTGCAGTGCGGCAGAAAGGTAACTGCAAGTCGTATGGAATATTCATTATTGCATTAATGCAGATTTTATTCGTAAAAATTTTAAATTAAATAATAGTAAACTCTACGAGGCATTTAAAAGACTTCTAAAAAAAAGACATCCAAATCAAAATATTGTTTATACATCTTTACAATGTTGAAAAAAAATTATAAAATTATTATTCCATTTTTAACATTTGACAACACGCTTCAAGGTCGACGCAATGAAATTTTGGTTAATGTGGAAAGCTCGCGGCACGAGTGGTTTTCGGCAATCAGTGGACCACGCGATGTCCTGCGCGGATTATTTTCTAAAACGAATCAAGGAAACCACTGGCTTCCGATTGGTGCTGCCTGCTTATCAGTGTTGCAACGTTTGTTTCTGGTAAGTGATCTCGTTATTGAAAAATCGGTGATTTCTCGATAACGTTTATCGTGACGTGAATCGTTTTAGGTACATACCTCCGAGTATGCGCGAAAAGGAAGAGAATGAAGACTGGTGGCACAAATTGTACGTGATCACAACTACGATAAAGAAACGTTTGACGTTGGAAGGATCTCTTTTGATCGGCTACACGCCTTTGCCGCAGAAGAACATTGGCAATTTCTTTCGCATGGTCGTGAACTGCCAACCTCCGCCCACAGAATCGTCCATGGATTACGTTATCAGACAGATCGAAAAATCTGCGGCCGATTTGTAGATAAATATTTATCTCGATCTTTCTTTCGCTCGCGAATATAAAAGTCCGTTCTTATCAAAGAAGATAGGCATTCGAAGCAACAACTTGTAGAATCTAAAAAAAAGAATATTGTCTTTATTGCAAACGAGTGCGTTGGGTATAAGATGCATCGGATATAATAATTCTTACTCTTATATATACACGATCTTGATATAATAAGACTTCGTACTCATGTAAAAAAATCAAACGTCGCAGTTTTACATCTTTTTTTCTTCATGTATCATCTTACATGCTGCGAATTACATAAATTCGTACTTAAGAGGTAACTTATACGATCAAATTCTTTTAATTAGTCGTTTTGGAAGACCTCAATTTTCCCTCTAACAATAAGTGTCTAAATGAAAAATTTGGCTCACCGTATAGACGCGGCAAGTAATAAGGCAATTTATTTTAGGGGATTGCGTAAACGTGATTCGCGAGCGCGACTCAATGTGAGCCAATGTAAACGCAATCGTCGCGCAACGTATGTGTGTTCATCGTTACACATTCATTATATAGTATATACTCCATCATCGTAAAGCTACGTTTAAGAAGACGCATTTTTACGTATATACAACTCCGTATCATGGCACTACGTTACTCAGTATAAAATTCGATACTTCTTCTATGAATAAAATATAAAAGAGGCAAACTTTCTTTCCAAAAATGCATACTTGTGTAACACATTTTTTGTATTTGTACAAAGACTATCAATCGATTCTCGGCAACCCGAGCGTCTGCGTGATCGCGGTTTAATAGACGCACTTCTTCATATTTCTCACTTGTTATCTCGCTCAAATAATAATATTAACGGAGAAAAAAGATAATAAGAACGCGCGAGAGTGTCAATGCGCAAAAAATATGTTTCGTATTGCCTTTTTCGCCTCATTAATATTTTTATTGTTATAAAACTATTCTGCCGCACGAATAATGTTATAAATGTATGAAATATGTGTGAAAATGCATTCACAAATAAAAGATCAAATGAAACTTTATACAGATGAAAAAAAATGAATGCCCAGGCGTGTGCGGGATTAAATCTCTATCTCTCTTTCTCACGGATATGTACAGAAACAAAAATAAACTCTTAAAAACTCTCTTGAAACAACGGCTTTTCTCTCGGGGGTACGTTGAGTTATTGCACCGCTCGACAAACGACATCGCAAAGTACCACTCTACAACTATGTGTATGCTGTAGAGCCTAAGACATTAAGGCAATTGGAGTAATATCGCTGCGTCTCTTTCGAAATGTATATCTCATCTTTATTGCTCAGTATTGAGCAACGTTGTCAGTGGAGTTGTGTCGTTAAGCGCAACGTTATCATTAACTAAACGAACACGCCGGAGAATGTGTACATCGGGTACTTAATACTAAGAATGTATAGTCTTGCAGACAGGCGTTTGCTTAATCGATCGTATGTATGCATGTATCGTCGAAGATATTGTCGCCTTAATTTAATTAAGTAAATACTCTCAAACCTTTTTCTCACAGACTCCTTCCGTCCTCTTCATCATTGTTTGCACTTTCCTGATTGCAAAACACGATCACTCTTCCGGAAGTCCGTTCTCAAGTCTCACATGTTAATGTCGACCGAGCGTTAATCGACCGGCACTATTTATATGCAGCTGCCAAGTGCGTGGAATGAGTTAGTATTCGCGATCAGCAACATCACAATTTGCTGTACGAATAAATCACTCGAAAATCACGTGGCTGGAAAGACCAGCTGGCCATCCACATGACGTTGATACACGATTCCATGCGGATCGCTCGTTCAGTAGTATTTGTCCTGATCGAGATCGGCACGGATATGTTGCTGGCCGTGACTGTTGCGCTTCAGGGTGGCGGATTCATAATCGAGACTCTTCGGATACAGCTTGGGACTCCCGAGACCGTTGACATTGGGATTGTTCTTACCGCGCAGAGTGCCATTTCCGTTGGTGCTGCCCGAGAAACTGGGCTGTCGCTTCGCGTTCACCTGTAAAATTAGTCCCTTCAAAGCATCTGTGTCAAGGACGCGCTAGTACGCCCGCGTACGCGCGCGCTCCTTCTTACCTCTTTCAGCGGCACGGTGACGTAAGGATTCTGTTTGCTGATATAATGCGGACTCCCTGGAATGCGCGGCTTGCGTCGCTTCAAATAGCAGAAGCACAACACCGCGGTTAAGGCCAAGCCGATGATAAAACTTGTCACGCAGCTGCCCACCACCGCGCCCACCGTGACGCCCGAGCTCTCCACGCTCGAGGGCAGCGCATTAACATCTGGAAAAATGTGTGCGGTGTGCACAATAAGTTTATCTTCCAGAGATTTATCGTGTGTGACGTCTAACGAAATATAAAGAGATCTATCAGCCAACTCACCGTTGTCTGTGCAATCCAGAAGACAATCGCGTATCTCATGATTCAGACCTTGACACATGCCGGGTCCGTGATGGAGACACGTTCGCTTTCGGTGCTGCTGACGATCGCCGTCGCACGGAGTCCACTGCGACCACGTGTCCCAACCGATCAGCGATTCGCAACTGGGCGTCTCGCAGGTCTCCCTGACCAGTCTGGGACCGTTGCAGCTCTCCGGGCCAAGGCACTCCCTTGTTCTCGTACGCACGCCGACGCCGCAGCTCACCGAGCACTCGGACCATTCTGTCCAACACGACCATTGACCCTCCGTCACGATACTGGCGGAATTACTGCGGCACGCGTGTAAATTGCAGGCTCTGCTCTGAGAGGCGACGCCGGTCTTGCAAACCGGCGAGTCGCATTGCCTTATCTGCAAAAGAGTAACACATGTTAAATCGTGCGGGTGATTTTTCAAAGCGCCGCGTAAAGAGGTACATTTGTACGTCCACCGCTGTGTAAACACTTACTCTACGTTGAATACCCCGTCCGCAAGGACGGTCGCACGGCCCCCAGGCGGACCATTCGCCCCAGCCACTCTCCACGGGTTCCGTGTATTCGTCCTTTCCTCGCAAGCAAGACCCGTCGTTTCTGCAATAACGCTCCTCCTCCTTGGCGAGCTGCACTCGCACGCTCGAAGGATCGCTTGTCTGCGCGCGACAGCTAAATCGGAAACGCTTCTCCACGTAACCCGCACTGGCGCTTTGCAGACTGGCGTTCACGGCCAACCAAGGAGTCCATCCGGAATACCGTTTCGTCTCGGTGCACTCGTGAGTGTTACAGTCCTCATACTGAAATACGCTTGCTGTTATTAAGCGAATCTTTTATTTGATTATAAAAAAAAATATTTAAACATATTTTTTACTAAAACTTGCCTGAGTATCGCATCCAAAACATTCGACAGGCGATCCTTTCTTCGGCGATGTACTCTCGCAGATTCTCTTTCTTAAACGTATTCCTGTAAAGTAAGAATTGGATTTTGTAAACGCATGGATTATTTTTGTATTATAGATGAAACAAACATCTAAAATGTATCGTGAATATTTTCTCAAATATTTCTCAGCTTTTGTCATTTATTAGGATGCTACTGTAATTATACTCGGATACTCACCACCGTTGCACGGCCGCGAACATGCGTGCCAATTGCCCCAGGACGTCCACTGGCCGGCCTGAGGCAGGGTGGTTTTAACAAGGGCAGGACAGGGCGGCCGATCGATGCACACGGTGTCATCGTGATCGTGGCCGACACAAACGCGCCCACCAAAGGCGGGTGCCGGATTTGTGCAGGTACGCCGGCGGGTTTTCATTGCGAAACCGCAAGTCTGAGAGCATTCCGACCAAGCTGACCAAGCGGTCCAACCGCCGTGAACGGTACAATTTGTTACTCTGACACGCGCACCCGTGCAACTCTCGCCACCGTGTTGCGGCGGGGGATTGTTGCATTCTCTAGTCTGACACTGACACGTGTCACTTTTCTGTGGGTCAAATGTAAATATTACTTTTTCGATACCATCACGATAAACAAATCCAAGCTGTTTATTTAAAACGAAACACGAGACTGCGTTAAAAGTATAGGCTCTCAAATTTTCGTCTTGCATATTTTACGATAAAAAGAGCTGCTCACTTGTTGCCAAATATATATTTAACTTTATCAACTGCTTATGATTAATCTTATTAAGCAAGCAAAAATGGAGCAAACTCCATGGCGATGAATAATAAGCAAACATATATATCAACCTCCGAGTATTCGTTGTGCGAATGCGAGTGAGCGTGACCGTGTCCGGCCGATTGTTCCCCCTGGCCATGTTGACAGGGCGACCAAGGACTCCACGCGCTCCAGCCACCGTCAACAGGGTCGGTGAGCACCGGGCACTTGGTGACCTCCTGATGCCAATGATTCGCCAGGTAATTCTGCTTCGGTGCCTGCGCACACTTCATGAGATGCTCGTTCCATCCACAATACGGCTCCTGGGCGTTCAAGCACGCTTGGCGGCTCCGATGACGATAACATTGAACGGCGGGCACGCTGCATAGCAGAAGGCATTACGATGCGATTTAGCGGAGCATTTAGAAGCGAGCGCGAGTTATTTATTATCGAAGACAACTGTTGTGCATAATTTGCGCGATTACGTAATACCGGTTATTTAAAAACGTAATTTGCAATTAAACGACATTTATCACATTCACAGCGTGATATCAATCGTGATTAATAACAAACGTTCGTGGAAATCCGCGGCTAATGATGGTTATCGTCTTACCGCAAGAGACCGATCTCCATGCCGACGTAAAGACTCTGCGTGTCCTTGAGAAATTGCAAGGTCATCGGCGACGAGGGCAACGGTCCCCAAATCTCGACGATGCAGGTCTCGTGCGTTCTGGGCAAGACGGAGATCTTCTTGATCAGTCCGGTCGCCGTGGCGACGTAGAGGACGGTGACGCTGCGGTGCAGCTTGGTCGGCGTCACGTCCACCGCGATGTGAGTGAATCGCTCGAGGGTCGCGGTGTGCAGCGGCTCCAGCGTCGTGCTTTGCACCGCCTCGTCCATCAACTGGTAACGCTGATTGTCCATGATCTGATGCGACGCGGTGCTCGACGGCGAGCCGCAGCGTTGTCGATTATGATGCGCGACCGGTCTCCTCTCCCAGGCAGCGCCCGCGTTTTCCTGATACTTGAAAGGCCCGTTAAAACTAGCGGTGATCGCTGACATGTTGAACGCGCAGATCGCCGAGCCCGCGATGCCGTTACTGCGGTAGGGAGAGGAAAAAAAAGAATTCCATTAAACCCAGTCGCTCTTACCGGAGAAATTACGTATCCAAAAAAATAAAAGAAAGGTTCTGCTAATTTGATCGACGATGCGACAAAGAACATAAGATGGAGAAATTAATGACCATGCGTAACGCCGAGGAAATGACTTCGGATAATTTCGGATATTAGAGATAAACGAAGGATGTAAATTTCTACATAAATATGCAAATCGATAAAACCCGACGAGTCGTATAAAATAGAAATAAAATTGTTGATTTTGTAATCATAGCAATTAACTCATCGTTTGATTAAAATCAACGAAAATCATTTATCGTGGCCGGTTAATATTGGTTAAATTTAATGTGTAAATCAAACAGAGGCAACGAAATAAAATCCTATTCACGTATCGCATAATCAATTTGTCATTTACCATCTCTTGCGTCCCCCTGAAGTTTGTGCGCAGACATAAACACAGACGATAATTAATGCGCCTTCGGATTAATCGGACTGATGAACGGATACTCACATAGGAGTCGTAAAGGTCGCGTAAACAATTCCCTCTTCCGGATGATAGGCAGCGCCTTGGATCTCATCGTAATAGAATGGGAACTCGCCGGGAAGCGAGCAATTCAATCGGGCTTTACTGAAGGTCGTCCATACGTCTTTCATCATGATCTGCCCACCTCGATCGTTCTTACAGACCCTCGCTATCCTCGAATATATTTTCTGCAACCATGCGTCGCAGCGTACGGTTAAGCCTTTTCGTGATAAGCACAAGCTTTAATGGCGCGTAATAGACCGTACATTATCATCGTGCTAATCTGCTTAATGGAACAACACCGAGGCTCGAAAGACATTTCAAAGGTATATAAAGTCCTCTTGATGGCGTTTTAAATATCCTCTCGGACTTTTGCGTCGCACGTGGTGCCGAATAAATTAATCCACCGCGTGCGAAGCAGAGTTCAACCTCGCGTTTGTTCACGATCAAGACGCGATCCGCGCAACCGGATGCAGAATGTTTCATTAAAGCTATCCCTAGGCCGGCAATTTGAGCGGCGATAGGCTGAGAAAATGATAAACATCGCCGCGAACTAAGATCACGTCGGAGATGGCATTTTTTTGCCGCGAGGAGGGAAAATCCGCGACGCGTCTCTCGTTTCGACCAGCACCGTAAGCGGCTAATTATACGCCTGACGCAAGTCAGCGGAGACGAGATCGCTAATCGCGCGAGCGGCTCCTCGCGTGTTCCTCGCGAGGATGATGGAGGACGCGCGCGCGCGATCACGGTGGATTACCGTACGGGCATCGATCTTACCTTGCCGCAGTTGATGTATTCCACGGCGGACTCGCGAAATAGAAAGTACACGTGATCCTCCGTCTCGAAGCTGCCGACGAACTGCGGGTCGTTCAGCCACCTAAAAAGGAAAGCGCAAGCTAGAGAAAACGGGTTCCACAGTGCGATGAATATTCAGACGCGAATAAGTGAGACGCGCAAATTTCGGAATGCAGTTACTACGACGAAATTCGTCTCGTCTGTTCTCGTCAGCGAATGTAGAAATCGTGAAGACGGATTGTGCGTATGAAAGCATATGGGCGTCTCACTTTTCAAGATTGATCGATGGACTTGTCGATGTAACGGTGTTTGTTAGCAATCTCCAAGTCTCGTGCTAAACATACTTGGAATCGTATTGTCGTGTCCTGAGGTTCGGCGACGCCAGCGTTCTGTAGATCGCGGGATCGGCTCCGGAGAAATCGGTCGGCGCGCCGGCGAAGAGCCCGCCGGTGGAACCCCTCGACAAAAGTGCCGTGACGTTCGCATGCGGCGAGTACGGACACATGGCCACGCCCGACATCTCGCTGGTTACGCTCGTTATATTCTCGATCTGCAAACATAATTGCTACTGTATAGAACTGGGCTCGCTAAATGGCGCAATCCCGTCGTCGCTTAAATTCAGCTTTACGCGGCTAATGATGACAACCTCCTCTCATCGACAGCCGTAACGATTCACAAGAACCAACGAAAAGTAATTTAAAAAAAAACTAACAAAAAACAATAGAATTCATTATTGTGGACGAGATTCGGGATCCGTTCGGACGAAATTCTTTCAAAGTCCTCACCTCTCGCCACGCGCACCACGGGCTGAAGGCGTAAGTGCCGCAAGTGAAGAGACTCTTGCCATTGCTGAGGAGCACCTTGACGTAATTACGACAATCCTCGACGCTCTGGCCCTTATTCTGACAGGTGTTGACCTTGTCCTCCGGCGCGGACCACGTAGCGTGCTCCAGGTCTGTGAGTGACGTCAGCGTCAAGCGGTACAAATTATCCCTGAAAAGACACGCTTTATTTACATTTTCATCAACGCTCCTCGCGTGTCATTAAGCGCGTCCCATATACAGCCGGACACTATTAATTCGTTCGAGCTCTCCGGTCCAATCACAACTGTCTGCCGCTTGTCACATTTGTAACACTTTTGGCACATCTTCGAAATGAACGGAGGTCTCTCAGCAAATATTCTACGATAAATAAAAATAAAGTGATTCCGAATCTCAAATTTATTTCCCTCCAGTTCGTAAAAATCTCTCATAGACTTTAAAAGAATCGCCGTTCGTTGCGTTTGCCAGGCTTTTAGTAGCACACTCTCAAAATCGGCAGAAGTTTCTCCGCAAATATTCTTTGAATAATGAAATTAATTAATTCCGGATCTCTAGCTTCTTTCGGTTCCTCGAAAAAAACAAGTATCTCGAAGAATTATGAGCTTCAATGGATTCATAAGAGACTTGTCGCGTTCGCAATGCTCTTAGCGGCCTCAAAATCAGCGGAAGTTTCTCGACAAATATTCTATGACTAATGAAATTAATCAATTTCGGATCTCGGATCTTCCTTTCGCTTGGAAAACTTTTGAAAAATTATGAGCTTTAATGGATTCATAAAAGATCGTCTCGGACGTTCGCAACTCTATAAATGGATTTTATTAAAAAATTATTAGAACGTCTCGTTGAAAGTCGCGTAGTAACTGATAATAAAGGATGTCGACGGCGATATAAAATGCGTATCTCAATTTTTAATTGAGAAGATATAACTAACGATTGACAATGATGACGACGAGTAACGACCACGGTTTCTCTTAAGCTACGACGCGTATCATATTCAACGAGGTCGCCGTAAGCCAGCTAGAATACTGGACGATGTTGCCCGTCTCGCATCTTTCCTCGAGATATTTGTACAAGGTTCGCGCGTGATTTCCGGCCATATTCATGAATTTCTCGACGGCACGCTTGATTGCGCCGCTTCAATTATCCGTTAATAAACACGTATCACGCATCATGTTTTGCATATTTGAACGAGAGCACGAATACGTTTATAAACTATCGGCGTTTGATGCTGCTTATCATGTTACGCGACCCGAGGAAGGTTTCTGATTTTCCGCATTAAACATATCGCGGTATGCTTAACGGTAAATATCGACCGGTAAAGATAAATAATAATCATAAATAATAATAATCAATATTCAAGATATAAATAACGGCTTATTGAATAAAAATTCGCTTGAAACAAGAAAAGGAGTTGAGGAGCAATGTTTCACATCCGTTTAGCTTGAAATAATAAAGAAATTGCAATCATCTTTCTCAGCTGAATTTTTTACCCTTCGGTATTTGTGTGGTAGAAAGCTATACAGATGCACGCTAGCGTGACTCTTCGAATACATAAAAGAAAATAATTTCTTTTTTATACGTGAAAGAAAAATTCGGTTGGATCCAACTGAATCAGCGCAGGGTTAACGATCTGCGAGCGAACGGTAAAGGTCTAGGACGTCTTAGAGAGAGCCAAACGGAAGAGTGGATTCCCGTAAAACAAACCTGTAGCTACCTTTCGAGGAATGCGACGCTTGCGAAAGATGAGGTGCCGAGGTGCTTGGTATCTCGAGAGAAAAAGCCTTGAGAGAAGCGCTCATTCTCTGTGCGTTCATTCCGCGGATTGTTACAGCCGGCTCGCGGCCGATCTCGAGGCGCGCTCGCATGAAGCACTTGTGGCAGTCACCGAAGGCGTACTCGGGTTTGACAGCGGCTTCGAGGAGCCCTCGAAAACTCCTCGGACGACATTCCACGGCAGCCCACTTGACTCCGATGCGACGTACACTCACGCATACGTTTGCGAGTGCGTACGGCACTTTGTCGCCGAGTACGCGAGATCGAGTGATCAAGTGATCGCACGATGCACGCATTCTGTCCAATGCGATCGGTAGATAAGAGTTTTTTTCATATAAAATCGAGAACTAACGCAACTGAAAATTTTCGAGCAAATTTGAACGCGTGCAATATTTTGCAGATGTGCAAAATTTTTATTTGCATGAAAAATTGTAGAAAAAAATTGTATGTCGTTCAACAATATTTTCCTCTCTTAAAAAATATAACGTTTTAATGCATCGCACTAAAGTTCTAAACCTGCCAAATGATATAAGATTCTAAGGCAGAAAAATGAATAAAATGTACATTTTAACATTAATGTTTTATTGCTTTAGAATCTTATATCATATCATTAGGTAGATTTACTGCGATGCATGATATTTTATATTCTAGAATTCTAGACTATTATTTTTTTCTTTAAAATACAAGATTTCAATGCATCGTAATAAAGTTCTGAGCCTGCTAAATGATATGATATAAGATTCTAAAGCATAAAAATAAATACGTGAATGTTAAAATGTAATGTATAGTACGCGCGATGTTATGTTTTAGTTTGTTTAAAAAAATCGACTTATCTAAGAATCTGAAAGTTTAAGGTTTCATTTTACAAAGTTATTACCTTCATCATTACAGCATTATCGATATGATCGATGCACATGCTGCCGATGGAAGAAAAATCGTGAATGTACGTGCACGTATGTAAACGAACGGCATCAGAGCGGCCTGGTGCGAGAAAACTGCCGGAAGACAGCGATCAGCGATATCGCCTCGAGAAGTTCGATAAGTAAATTATTATCAGCTTATAAATAACCGCGGAGATATGGTTCATGCGCGATCGTCCGCCTGTTTGTCCCCGGCAAGCAGGACGACAACGACGACGACTACTACGACCGGTGGATCAAACAGGAAGTGCAGGCGGTGGTTGAAGTGGCCGCAGATAACTGGCGAATAACTCGATACTCGCCTATGTCCCTTTAAGTAGCGTCGCAGGCGACCGCGCGCGCCTTCTTTTTCTCCGCTCCGGTGACGATCGCGATATATGTAAATGGAAGCAGCACGCGATTACGATAGCGATTCCGGTCACGATTTCGTAACAAAAAAAAAGAGAAATTATCATCGCGTGTAAACGCTACGTGGATATCAAAATTGACTCCGTTCATCACAAAAATTAAAATCGAGCATACGAGAACAGAATCTGTAGATCCAATAAATCTCTTTGTTGTAACATTATTTTATCGAAAATTGTAGCAAAGCTGCATTTAAAAAAATCATATCAATTTATTTAAGAGGATAAAAATGAACCATGAAAAAAACTTCTGGTTGTTGAGCAGCTGCTTTCGCAAGCAGCCTACAAATGCTTTCTCATTTTGCAAGGGACACCGCTTTCACACGTATGCATCGCCACGGATATAAATGCTCGAATACTTGTTCATTAGACTGCTCGATAATTGCGCGCCCGAGCACTCTGTATAGACCTTTTGTCAAAACGATGAACTTTAATCTATTCATGATTGCCACGCTACAGCTCGCAATCCACCGCGCCTTAGCTCCGACGTATATGCATAACCGTCCGAGTTGCATTCTGTTCGATGCTTCGGGGGGACCGCGTCCCGCGGCATTCATTAGACTTCTCTATCAATTCCATTCAGCCGCCGGGTTAATAGTCTCGATTTGCAGCACACAAAGATCACGCCAAACGCGCCTGTATAATACAGAGTAATCCCACACTTCCTTTCATCTCGAGTTTCTCCGAAAATTCGATTTAACACCGGGCAAAGTTAAGTTTAATGCATAACTTGAATATTCATGCAATACATACTCAAGTTGCAATATTGTCGAGGTGAAATTCCGGTAAAGTCTTGAAAGTCGGGTAAAAGACAAATTTATATTACTTGCAATTTTATTCATTTCTGAAAATGTCTAATCTTTGATCATATCGATAAAATTGTCCGATGTCTTCGTTGATGAAAGATTTATTTCGGATTAATCAAGAAATGCGGAAAACTTGGAACACACCGCGCACGTCGATTCATATTCCGCGGTGTGAAATTCTTTCTTTCTTCGTAGCTTCGAGTGTGAGAGCGGCGAGCGCGGACAGAAACGCGCCGACGAAACTCGCAACGAAGCAGAAACGGCGCCTACGTGGGCGCCCGCGTCGCGGCACCGCGTGATAGTTCGAATAGGTAATTATTATTTAAGTGGAGTATAAGCGCGGGCAGGGCGCTGGTTGTGCATGCCAATTAATAAGTCGCGCGTACCCGATCGCACGTCTAGCTATTCGTATCGGCAAACCTACGTGAGGTACCCGCGGCATGTGTGCCGCGGACCAGGGCACACCCGCCGAAGGGATATCGCTATTTCTCGTACGTCTTTGGCGACACCACAAGGCCGTCGGGCGCGACACGAGTGAATTATATCACGCAGAAAAGAAGCCGGAGTCTTTCGAAGCCGAGCGACGGAGATTGCGTGGTCGCACTTTCGATAAAACAAAGTTACGCTCGCTAAATCGTGTTCCTTAAGTCATAAATGTCACGAAATCGATTCAGCAATCGATTGTCTTTTCTCATTGAAGCAATGACATGACATTATTGCTAAATGTTAGAGCAATGTCATATTTCTTGTCAGCTATTTGTGTCGTTCAAAATAAATTTATTTATGTTATAAGTGGAATTGCTTAAAAGACATCTCTTGGATGTAGCTATTGTAACATTCTCTCCGACTAAGCATTTCGAAGATGCGGTACATTGTAATCAATCTGGTATTGTATTGCTGGATCACGTACAACGGGATTCGCGCGAGACTCGATTTTATGGTAACAGCGCGGTCGGATACAGAGTTGTACAAACGTCAATCAACGTCTTTCATATTTTCCTGTTAGAACATGGCCCGCGTGCGCGGTAGGCGGGCAGTAAAGCGAACCCGATGTTACTGTCGTCGTATGACACGTTAAAATACTTCGATCCCGAGAACGTAACGAGACACAAGTATTGTCATATGCATCGTTTATTCCGAGAGCGCGCGTTGAATTTAGTAATATAAATGCATTACAAATACGATGCACGCATAAACTTTTATGAATCTATCTCGACGAGATTTCACAAAGTTTGATTTATGTCGCTTTTTTCAAGCAAACAAGTCGTG